GGAGAGGAGGGGGGGGGGGGGGGGGGGGGTGTCCCATAAGAAAACGACATGAGAAGAGGGGGCGTATGTGCTAAAAATTTGAGCATAAAAGGGGAAAAAGTAGGCTAGAATATGCAGTAACGAAACAAGTGATGGAATACCAAAGTCTATCTTTTTTAATTAAAAGATGAAACTCAATATAAGACATACCAGATTTGTTTGGTTTCTGTTGTTGGTTTAGGGATCAATGAAAGTTCCCTTCACAAGGGATTGTCCCAAATTCGGTCCTGTTTTTATGGTAAGGAACTTGTGGATGACTTTGAGTGGTAGGGTTTTGGTCAAGGACAACTGAATTGTGGAACACACATAAAGAACCTTTGAAGGGTAGGGTTCCTCTCACAATATATGTTCATAGTTTTTAACCTTGGAGTTGTAAATTAATATGATCACATGTTGTAGCGATAATATATATATGTGGGTCATAGTCAAGTTATGGAGTGAAGACTTGTGAAATTCAACAAAATAATCTCCATTTTTTAACATTTGTGTCTAGGTGGAGGAAAATAAATTAAACCTGAAGTTTACATCATTTATGTCCACAAAACTAACCTATAAATACACTCTCTTTTCTGCGCAATGTTTTGTGGTCGAGTTTTCTCCCATGAATGCTAATTGGAATTCAATTTTAGGAGAGAAACATAACAAATCACAAGATTTTTTTTTTTCAACGAAACGGCCACAATTTGAAGTTATACTAACCCAATGATAATAGTATTTTTTTAACCATAGTATGAATTATTTATTAACTTTTTTTATGATTAGTGTTTGTCTAAAAAATTTGACCAAATCACTTCAAATAGTGTCATTTCTTGTAATCAAATTATTTTATTCACAATACTTAAATTAAAACATTACTTAAAGAATTCAAATTTAATTAAGAAAACTAAACCTAATTAAGAAAACTAAATCCGGTATTACTCGAATTCTATGGTAGACCTGTATACTTTAGGGTGTTTATTTGCACCTCTTGACTTTAAAGATAGTATACGTGTATATCTTGTATTATGATTTCTTTGTCCTTTTTTTGGATAAATAAAAAAAAAAGTTTTCTTAATTTATAATTTGAATTCATTGCTCCTAAATTCTCAATTGTTGTTATCTCTTTTCAAATTACTTTTTATTCTAATGAATGTTTTCTTCTTTTTCATGTAATATTTATAAAAATTTAAATAAATTATCCCCACTACTCGAGGTTCGCTACTACTTGGATCAACAATATGATGATAATTTAATGGTAACATTTAATGTGTTTAATTTGAAAAAAAAATATTTTATTATTTTCATCTTTTTATATCAATCAATAAAAATAAGTTAGTATACTTTTGTAATTGATTATTGAAAACAAAAAATAAAATAAAAAACATTTTTCTAGTTAAATAATTTTATCATCTTATTTTCTTATTTTAAATTTTATTAATTTGAAATGGTCATTTGGTATTTAAAGAAGTGAAACAATATTTTTAGTAAGTTATTATAATGAGTTTTTATCATGTCACAAACACGAGCTAACATAATAAACTTGTTAGTAAATTATATAAAATATGAATAACAAACTCATTGTGTATTTAACCCCAATAAACTAATTCCAAAATAAGTAAGCATTTAAACTAGTCGTCCTAAGACACCTATAATGTAACATATAGTCCTCGGAAGTATTTAAAAATCAATTTTATTTTAGTTGTTGAATATTTAAATGAACATCAATATAATATTTTTATATATAGTTGAACATCAATTTAGTTATTAGCTAAGGATTATTATTTTATACTATGTGTGACTAAATTAACTTCATGCCACATGTATAGAGAACCACATTTACTCTAAATAAATGAAACTTATAGTGACACAATGAATAAATTATAAGATAGTTACATAGTATTAAGCAAATAATATATGCTATGCATGGTTGGTAAGTAAGACAATTATTTTACTTATTAAGTTTCTGAACCTCATAAAGGCCAAAAGTAGTGGCTTCCATTACCTACCTCTCAGCGTCAATTAATCATGAATTGGTTTGGAGAGTTTTGCCAAATTTTTTTTGCATTGCATATGATACGTGAAAATTTAGTTGTCTTAGCTTAAAAATAAATAAAATTGAGTTTCCTTTAATGACTAATTAGCAGCAAGTACTGAAAAACATGGATTATTTTCAAGTACCATATTTCTCAATTCAAAAAACATAGGTAGCACAAAAACAGACGAAAATAATAAGTATATTATGTAATTAAGGGTCTTTTTGCTAGGAAAAAAACTCATTTGAAAAGAGTAGTTTTAAAAAACTATTTTTATAAGTATTCTTTTTCAGTTCTTAAAATAAAATAAAATAATATGACACATTTAAGTTGTTTTGGTTTTCTTCTTTTAAGTTTTTTTATTACTCATATTCTTCTATTTCCTACGAATCCTACCATTTAAAACCTGCGTTTTGAAAATTATGTTTCAGTGTGATTTTTAGAAACTAAAAAAAAAAAAAATCAAATCCATCACAAATCATTTTGAAATCTTCTTTTCAAAATTTAAACAAACACCAAATAAACATAAAAGAACATAAATATTTGGAATCCAATTTCACCTCGGTATAAAGTTTGACACATCATAGACAAATCACATTTGTCTTTGATTTTTCAATCTTAATCTTATCAATTTCTTTGGTGATGATCAAATTACTTAAATATCTTTTTAATCTCTTAAATATAAGATAAATTTATTTTTATTCTTTAAATTTAAAATTGATTTTTTTAATTATGTGTGAGACAGAACAACTTTCTAATCTCTTTACTAAGAATATATAATAAACGCACTTATAAAATACGTGAACTAGTTCTATCAGTAAAATCCTCCAAGAACTTAAAATTAATCCCATATATTATCTGACAAAATGCTTTTACTCACAAGAATCAGTTTATACAAGAACTAGTTCTTATTGCTAGAATTCAAGTCAATATTCTCCAATGGTCCCAAGTAAAAAACAGTTCACAAACTTAAGAATCTCACAAAAAAGATTCTCTTACAGAGTAATTCATCTTTTAATTCCAGTTTTACATCACCAAATCTCCTTTGTTACGATAAATTCATAGCATTAACTCATCTAAATATTTTCAAATTAATGTTAACAAAACATCTAGAAAATAAGACCCAAAAAAAAGCACACATACACAGTTACAAAATAATGGACATAGTTAATTACTAAGCCTTAAACCTAATTATTTGTAAAATGACCAAACTTTCGAACTTTAACATCTAGTCTATGTCTAAATTTGTTCCCTCAGCAACTAAACCCAGTAAACTTATGCATATAGATCACTGCATATCGGATTTGGTGATGATACTTGGAGCAGAACACCTTATCATCTCACTTCAATAAACACTAAATAGTGATGACACAATCAAAAAGTGTGCCCATGAAGTGTAACCGATTACTATCAAAGAATGAAAACTAAGCATATTTTAGGTGATGTTTATGTGTACTACACCAGATTTGGATCGTTGAGGACAGTAAACTCATTGGAATATGTAACCAGCTAAGGAACATGCAACATTGCACCTGACTATTGAGCTGATACACCAAATCCAATCATGCAAGAACACTAGTCCATTCCTCGAGTAATTCTACCATCATGTAAAAATAAATTACATCTGCAAAACAAACCATACGCCAAGGTAATCTATGTAGCACACAGGCAATTTTTAACTACTACCATATGAAAAGCATTCCTGGAAAATGATAAATCTTATGTCGGAAAACTTGTTTTTCTAAGACATTGTAAATCTTGATTTGTTCAAAAGAGCAAATCAAAAAGGCTAGGAGCAGTAGAAGAGACTCTCCCTTACAAGTAGTGTAATCGAATGACAAATGTTAGATTATGTGCTGATCAGAATAGAAATGTGATGTCAGATATAAATTCATCGGCCCAAAAAAGCAACACGATCCTTTTGTACTGCCTGTGTTAGGTTGATATCAAAGAGCTCACAGCGTATAGGCATCTCCATCTCATAGAACGGATTCTTCAAAACATAGTCCGTGTACAATTCATAGACAAATTTCAATAAATTTTCCATGTGTTGTGCTCCAGGCTCACAGACCACAAAAAATTTTGTGCCTGTATTGGAGAAGAATGTTAATATCAATATTAGAAAAATAGGGTGAGGGATCTTGCATGCTCATTTTTCCAGAGCATTTAACCAAATATAAAAATGCTAAACAATGAAAATATTGTCCCATTAAACTAACAAGTGCAAAACATAAATGCTAAAGCAATGGATGAAACACTTACACAGAAGCCAGACATCTAGAGCAATGTAAACACTCAAGAATTCAAGTTCATTGATCTAAATCAGAAGGTACATGAGTGACTCTCGGAGGAATGGGAAATTTTATATTGCATATAAAGACTAAAGAGCCAAAAGAGAACATTGCAAGAAATGAAGTGAGAAACGGGTGTTCAACTGTAACCAATCTATGTATAGGTTACCCCCTATTCATACATTCAGAGGAGGTCTTTTATGACAACCTAATGGCAATCATCATAGGCATCCCTGTGAACATTACCAGAAAAATGATAGTGCATAGAAAATTATTACAACCACACAGTAAGAAAGAAGTATGTAATCATAAAAATAGTAACAATAGCCAAATACAAACAATATTCTGGGTCATGTCAGCAGCAAGTTGTATAGATTGTAAAAATAACCTTAGCCTGCCTTCCAACTTAATGATTCTGGATTTTTTTAACTCAAAAATCAGGCATCCAAGAAAAATTGAAAATAATATAATTATAATGTTGCAATATATATACAACTCTACTAAAGTATTATCTGGGCTTCATCTTATAATCGGTTTAGCTGTATAGTGTTTAGCCTATTGTGGCCTTTTAGATAGAATCAGGATTAAAATGCCAAAGCAGTCAAGTTCATAGTTTGAACAATCACCAAAAACAAGCAATTCTTATGTTACTAATAATTATCTAGAGCTTCTGATATACTCAAACCATCTTTAATTGAAAACTGGCCATACTACAGCTACCTGCAAGCTGCAAGGCCTTAACCTTTGTTCATGAAAAACAAAAGCCAGTATGGTGGTACTAGATATTATAACTAAGAGTAAAATGTAAATGATGTTAGACATAAAGTATTCATTTTATTCACAGGGTATTTACAAAGCTAATGTGATAATGAGTACAAGACTAATGTTTAAAAAAATACCTGTCAGCGATTGAAAGCAATGAAGATCAAATGTATCTGCTTGGAGAAGTTCAATTCCTAAACAACCTGAAACAGGTGATAACTGCTGAGAGATAGCATGCATTGAATGCCATAAACTTGCCACACGCAAGCTGTCATTGGTATCCATTCGTCCAGCAGACCCATAATCCTACACGTCAAAAGATTAACATAATTTTAATAGATTCCATGTAAAATGAAAAGCTTAGCGGCAACTATAAATAAAATATTAAAATTGATTTATTTTCTTTTAATAAAAGGTTGGAAAGAAAATTAAGCTATCATTATGATCCATCTTCCTAGACCGACACATCCTAAGGTATCTTGGTCATTTCTTTAAGTGAATTTAGAAGCTGAAGCTCAGTCTAAATGGTGAGCGAAAATATGAGAACTAATTAACAATGCAAGAGTTTTAGCTCATCAAACAGAGAAAGAAACAGTAACAACAACATCAATGCTTTCTGCCATCAATTTCAGAGGCATACAAAATAAATTTCTTAGAAACCCACCAGAAAATAATTTGATGTTTGAATTAGAGACTAGTGAGACTAGTGAGCAACAGAGAGAATAAAAACAACCATACCTTATAATATATCAATCCACCAGACTTGTTGATGATGTAAAGACTGTAAATTGCTGCCATTCCAAAAATTTTTCCAGAATCTGAAATAAAGGCAAGGATGGAATTTAACAGGGAAATTTTCAAAATTAAATTCTTGTACTAACCACAAATACACTATCTTGGATTTACAGTACAATTAACAACCAACCAACATTATTGTGAACACCGAATGAAGATAATCATGAGAATGAATATTTAAAACACACACTAGCCTAACTCATTATTCTCTATGAATGTTTTATCCTTTATCAAAGCATCATTTCAATTATTATTATTATTTTCACTACTATGACACACACTACAGCAAAAGTCATTCAAGTGTGTGTTTATCATCTCATTGCAACACACCCTTCTAGCCCATACACGGTGTCCTCCTATGGTGTTATTACATTTGATTATTGATTTTTCTAGTTTCAATCTAGAGGTCCAAGTGACCCAACTTCAAGAACCCCTCAACCTGCATTTTATTTTTTCACAATAAAGACCAGCAGCCAAATATACCTCTGCATTCCATTTTTGTAGGCAACCAAATCACACTTTCATAATCATTTCTTCAATTTCAGAGAAGAACACACATGATGTCTCCAACGGGAGCAACAACAAAACAATTCTTAAACTCTCTCGGCCCAGCACAATTCGTACAATGGAAGGAAGACAAAATTCCTTCATCACTTGCAATTCACACTCATCCCCACTCAAACTAATTTTACAAATTATTCTTATCCATTCACACTATGATTCAACAACACTATATGTGCAGAACTCGTCACATCAACGACAATCACAGGAACTCATCAGACCAACAACAATCATAGTACCATGAGCAAAATTAGCCTCTAGCCCACTAAACCGGAGAAAACCCGTGGCAAGACAAAAAAAAAAAAACTAATTTAATTTCACCATCACAGTGATTAACATTCAGAGAGTAGCAACAGAGAGGCAACTCAAATCGGGAGAGAAGATTCAAGCAAATCAAGTTCTCCCAAATAGTTCAAAACGAAGCATATCAATAAAGCTAAAAACTACCAGCGATCTATGAAGAACTTCCTCCATACTCAGATCACACGTAAAGGGCATCCATCCCCAACAAAATGTCCCCCCATCTAATCGAAACAGAATTTCAAGCAGAAAAAACCATACTTTAAACATCAAACTTTGGAATCAGAGCAAATCAAACAATTTGAAATTTGAAACAACCTAAAATTACCGATTGAGGCCTGGAAACAGCAACTTGAACCACCGAGAATGCAGCAACTACAGAGGGTGATGTCAACCGTCAACCCTTCACTTGAAAATGAATAAATCTAACGGTGGATGACTTGTGATGCTATCCCACAAAATTATACTAAGTTGAAAGTTGTTATAGAAAAGTTTGTGAAAATTAAATAATTTTAATAATTAATTATACATAAAATTGATTAATATTATAATATTTTATAATTAGAATAAACTTTATTTAGTTAAATATATTGAAAAATAATTTTAAAATATTTAACTTGTTTAAATATAAAAAAAAAAAAAAAATAGTTCGATGTTGTAAATAAATTTTATAAAAATAACAGTTGAAAAATGATTTTAAATCTAAAATTTTTTTATATATAAAAATATTTACAAATTTTAACTATTATTTCAAGCATTCAACATTTTTTATTCATAAAAAATATATAAATTCTTTAGAAATTATTTTTTTTAAAAAAAAATAGCTAAAATGATGGGATTTATGTCGATTAACCTTTCTAATGCCATCTCTAGTGGGGTTGCTTATAAGCAACCCCACTTGTCACATTAGTGTGAAAATCAGTGTGTGAGTTGTTTAAAATTTACAGAAATTACTTATATAAGCACTCGTTCTTAAGAAAAAAGGAAAAAAAAAAATGAGATTGATGTGATAAGTGAGGTTAATTATAAACAACCTCACTGCAGATAGTCTAAGATATGCTATAATTTTTTTTTATTTAAAAAAATAATTAAATAAATTTTCATCCTCATTTTAAATGAGATTTTGATTTTTAGCCTCACTTAATATTTTTCATTTGTTTTAATCCCTTGTTATTTTAGAGTTAATGTTTTTAGTCACTTTTATTATCCTAAAACCATTAATTGATTGTGTGACTAACCGTAATCATTAAATCATCTACAAAGATTAGATACACATATGTGGATTTTACACCTATTTTTAATTTAAAATTTGTTGCTTCAAATATTATAAAAACATAAAGATTAAAAATTAGTAATTAGTGAACTAAAAAAAACTTTATTAGAAACCCCAATCAAGAACATGACCTAGAAAATAATGAACAATTCTGCCATCTAACAAACGTATTACCATATCCCTACATTTGTCGTCAATCCCACCATCTTATTTCATTACTTTTGCAAGCATTTTACTTTGATTTTTGGTGCATTTATCAGCCACTTGATTGAAAAGAAGAACCCATATCAAAAAAGAGAAACAAAATTGTGAAAAGACCAATTAGAAGCAAAATTTGAACGAACCAAGGCATGCAAGAACAACATACACATAATTGATTGCCTAGTGGGGTCTTACACCAAAAGTAATTGGATTTTTTCTTGCATTTGTCATTATTGTGAATTTTGTCGTTACATGTGTGCGTTTGAAATTTTTTTAATTAGGAATTTTAAGTGGGATGGGAATGTGGACGACCAAAAAATATATAATCATTGTTATTAATTTAATCTTTTAATTAATTTTACTTTTTGTTTGGTTGCATATATTTTAAGCAAGAGTTTTGTGTTGGTCATTCATCGTTGGAGTTGGAGATCATTTGTTAAAGACTCAAACTTGATATATGAGGGAAGAAATATACATGTATACCGTAATATGGACGCATATACATGGTCCTATTTTGAAGCTATGTCAATTGTGAATGAATTAGGGTGTGGGAATATTGTTAAGTTGTGGTGAAGAAAGATGGGACAAACTTTAATAATGGCATGAAACATTATTTTGGACAATGATGCATTGAAGATGGCCAATTTTACAATTCACAATAATAGAGCAATCTACTTGTATGTAGAAGATTTGAGTGTTATAAATGAAGAGAAAACTTAAAGGATTGATAAGGAGGGGAATAAAATGGTTGTTAAAGTTATAGGTAGAAATGCAATTAAAGAACCAAATGAGAAGGAAAGGAGTACTATAGTGAGTGATGTAGATAATAGTGATGATAGTATGAAGAGTGTTCATTTTAATGATAGTGAGAAGGATAAGGATTTAAGACTTAATGATGAATTTGATGTTAGGGGAAGAGGTGATAAATGAAGCAATTGTATAAAAAATCTTAAGAAGAAGACAATGCTAACAAAAAGGACTTATGTCTCACCTAAAAAAGGGTATGTGACAAAGGAAAATGCTATTGTTTAGTAAATGAAAATGAGAGAAAAGAAAAAGTTAATTACCTCGAGACATCTCAAGTAGATAAATTTGTTCCAATCGACATTGCAAACATACATGTCGTGGATGAAGAATATGAAAATGATGACTTGGATAGTGGTGATGAGAATTTAGATTATGATGAAGAATCTAAACCAATTCATCCCAAATTTAGAAAAGAGAAATTACACCAGAATTTCAAATTCAATAAGGCATGGTGTAACACCCCAATTTCTTTAAAAGGATATTTTTATTAGTAATGGCATTTCTATAATTACTGAGGACATTTTCGTAATTTTATAAAGGTATTAGGGGTATTTGAGTAACTCGGAACGGGCTGTTCCGAAAGTGGAACGGGCCGTTCTGAGCATTAAAAATAAGCTAAAATTTTAGGTTGGGAACGGGCCCAGAACGGGCCGTTCCAACAAGGAGAACGGGCCCAGAACGGGCCGTTCCAACAAGGAGAACGGGCCGTTCCGGAGAGAGGACAGGTCGTTCTGCTGAGATTGAGAACGGGTCGTTCTGCTTTTTGGGAACTGGCCGTTCCGATTTTTGGAACGGGCTGTTCCAGTTGAGAAATTTGCCCACGTTTGAAGGCTCCGGAACGGGCCGTTCCGAAATCAGTATGGGCGTTCTGGGGACCCCAGGATGCCTATAAATAGGAGGCAGGGGGTGAAAATTTTATACTGAAGTGAGAAGTGAAATCTTAGAGAGAGAAAGAGGAAGAGAGAGAGAGAGAGAGAGAGAGAGAGAGAGAGAGAAAGGAGGAGGGAATCCAGAGGAGGAGACTTTGCCCAAGTTTCAACTGCGCTTATCCAGGTAAGGGGGGAGTGAGAAACCTCGCTCAGGGGTGTGGGGATAATTGTTGGATAGTTTGTTTGTCGGATTGGCCCCCAATCCCTTGCCGTTGTTCTGTCTGATTTTCTATTTACTCTACTTTGCTCTTTGTTGAAGGTGTCGTTGTTCTGTTTGATTTTCTATTTACTCTACTTTGTTCTTTGTTGAAGGTGTCGTTGTTCTGTTTGATTTTCTATTTACTCTACTTTGTTCTTTGTTGAAGGTGTCGTTGTTCTGTTTGATTTTCTATTTACTCTACTTTGTTCTTTGTTGAAGGTGTCGTTGTTCTGTTTGATTTTCTATTTACTCTACTTTGTTCTTTGTTGAAGGTGCCGTTGTTCTGTTTGATTTTCTATTTACTCTACTTTGCTCTTTGTTGAAGGTGTCGTTGTTCTGTTTGATTTTCTATTTTTACTCTACTTTGCTCTTTGTTGAAGGTGGCGGTGTTCTGTTTGGTTTTCTATTTTCTCTTCTTTGTTCTTTGTTGAAAGTAATAAATGAATATGAAATTAATAATAATAATTGAGATAAGAATGTTCTCTGAATCTCTGTGAACACTTATGCGGACCTTATGAGGAGTATTTATGACATGACCATGGAAATATGGACAAATGACATGAGACCTAAGAATGGACTATGAGACCTAAGAATGGACTATTGAGACAAACTATGATTATGAGACTATGACAAATGAGGACATGATGTACTAAATGAAATTCTGTAATAAGTTAAATGTTGAGTTAATGAAATAATGAATGTGTGACATGCATCATATGCATATATTACTCCAGGTGTGCCGCTGAGGCCGCATACCAGTGATGTAACTTGCTAACGAGGTGTACCTTAGGGTCACCAGTGATGTAACCAGGTGTACCTTAGGGTCACCAACGATGAATTGTGAATCTTCCGTATGGCGCCACATGCATGCATTTATGAGTTGAGTCCATGACATCATAAGCATGATAAATGAGTATATATATGTGATATTGACTATTTATGTGTATTGTTTACATGTGACTTATATATGTTGTGTTTGTGTGTGTGTGTGCTATCTAGCAGTTATTTCTGCACCTGAAACTGAGTGAGATGTTTCTCACTCCCTTGTTGTTTTTGTATATGTTTAAATTATGTTGCAGGTGATCATCATCATGAGGATGTTGGTAATGAGACTTAAGGGTTCAGTTGGGCATGCTCTGATAGGATGTGACATCGGGGCTTAGCTAGCTTAGTCTAATATGTTATTATTTTAAAAGCTTTAATTTTCTCTTCTTTTGTAATTTTGAACGTTCTTGAGAAAAGACCAAAATGTACATCTTTGTCATACTATTTTATTACATGATTTGAAAGTGATATATTAATTCCTAACTAGGAGGCACTGCCATCTTTACTGGAATTAATATATATTCTCCTTTATATGATTTCTTGAGTTTAATACTTATATTTGACTTTTTATGATTGATGAGTTACGAATGTGAATCTTCTACCTTATGAGATTTGAAACAATTGTTTTATACATGAAAGATGTTATTAAACTATGAAAGATCTTATTTACTCAAAAAGAAAGAAATTATTGTTTACATTTATTGTGTATTAACGTTGGGGTAGAGAGTGTCACACATGGAGTTCTCTTCTTTAGGAGAATTTAAGGAGGTTATTTTGGAGCACTACATGTTGAATGAAAGGGAATTAAAACTTGTGAAAAATGATATTGTCAGAGTGAGAGTAAGATGTAAAGCCAATTGTGGATTTGAGGCTTTTGTGAGTAGGGTAGAAAAAACTCACGCTTAAGATGAAGACTCTTGTTGACAAACACACATGTAGTAAGGTATTTGACAACAAAGATGCCAAATCTAATTGGGTGGTCAAGGTAGTGGTAGATAACCTAAAGACAAATGATAAACTAAGGTTGACTGGTATTGCTAATAATATAAGGAAAACATATTCA